TCCCCACTTGGGTATGCCATATAAGGGAAGGTCTCGGAGTAGCGAGACGTTCTGAGGCTTCTCTCTCGACCCTACCTAGCACTCGTCCTTGTCCCTAAGATTGTTAAACATAGTGTATGACCCTTCTTGAGTCAAATCAAGAGAAGTGAAGAAGAGAAAGGTTTAGAGAAGTATCTACTCTATTGTCATTGTCCGAGGGACTTCTCAACTTTCTGGCCTTGTCAGATGTTTGAGTGAATTTTTTTCATAGGCACCATTGTGAGTTTTTGGAATTTCCTCTTTCTGGAGTTCTTTCTCTTACTGTTCTCTGGATTAGCATGACTGCATTTCTCCTCTGACTGGTATATTCTCATTCTTTATCCTGTGACAGATTGCAGTTCCTCCAGGTGTTAACTTTTGCAGTCTTTTCTCAACACTCTTGAACAAGACCTAGGGTGACCTCATGCCATTCCATTTTTGAGTGACCGTGGCTCCCATCTGTTCCATGAGAAGCCGTCATGTGCATTTTCGTGGACATCCTCTGTGCGGGTTGATACCAGCATAGACACTGAGCCTGTCCTCTCTATTCACTGCAGCTTGTCAATCTCTCTCTCAGCCATTATACATTAGTCCACAATATCCCACAAATGGCATGTTCAACAGCATGTGCTTTTCGAGGTCCCTGAAAGCCCTTTCCTTGACACCTGCTCTCTGCACTTGGGGTTGTAGGACACATGATAGAACTGTCTCAGACCAAATATTCTCCTCAAGGGAAAGAAAAAAAACTTTCTAATCTCCAGTTTCCAACTATCTTATACTTTAAACATGGGTGAAATCATCTAAATGAATCTTAGCCACCTACTTTGAAAATTTTTGTGTCTTGAGCTCGCATCTCATTTTGAATGTTTTCTCAGCTAAAACTTCTCTTTTGACATCTTGTTATACTATCAAAGCCGTAAGTTCACAAAAGAATGTTTGCTGTACCTCCAAATGTAATGGGCGAGCTCATTGTATGTCATTCCTGAAGTATACGCACTAGAATTATAGGAATAACCAAATGGAGAATGTTAATATTTTTATTAATATTATTTACCTTCTGGATATTAATAGCCTCAATCAAAACATTTGCTGTTTTACATCATTTCCTGTGGTTTTCAATAGTATTTCTGTTGGGTTCCAGCAGAAAATCTATATGAAAGTGTTGGATGTGGATTGATCCATTTTTAAATAATCTTCAGAATTTATCTTTAAATAGTTTATCATTTTGAGATAATACTTAGTCATATGTATTCCTTTTTATTTTATTAATAAAAATATTTTCTCTTGAAACCGATATTGTCAAAATTAAATATTGCACATAAAATGCTCAAAGAATTACTGTGGTAGCTAAGCAAAAGTGAAGACGTTTAACTGTGCCCCAACAAAAGCTGATTAACTAACCTTATAGTATTGAAGGCAAAAGCAGTATAATATTTAAATTTTTTTCTCTTTAAAGTAATTTATGTTTGTTTTCAATGTGAAATATAGTAAATAAGTTTCTGGAGGGAGAAAAAAAAGGAAGATTTCCTGTGGTTTTTAAAAATAAAAAAGCAATGCACCAAAGCAATATATACACTATATAGCCTACTTAACTTCATATTTTAATAGAATAACCTGAGAATTTTATTTCACCTTGCTAAAATTTAAGTCCCCATATTTGCTTGAGAACTTTATTCTGAGAAGATAGTAAGTTTAGGGATCTAATGTACAGCATGGTGACTATAGCTAATGATACTGTATTACATACTTGAAAGTTGCTGAGAGAGTTCAACTTAAATGTTATCACACACACAGACACACAAACACACATAGGTAATTATGTGAGATGATAGGTGTGTTAGCTAAACTTTATCGTCATAATCATTTTACAACATATATGTGTATCAAATCATCACAGTGTACACCTTAAACTTACACAAAGTTATACATCAATTATATCTCAGTAAAGTTGGAAAAAATGAAACATTATTTTTACTTGTATCTCTTTTTTCTTACACTGAAAATCTTGGTTCTTACTAATGTTAATATAATTATTTATGGTTTTGAAACAATTGTGCTGATGTTACTACTGATAAACTATAGAATTAAGTTTAAAAAAAGAAGTTTACTCTGTTGGTTATTTAATCAAAAAATAATCAAATTATTTAAAAAGAAACATTGGATAAACTTAAAGATGAAATACTTAAGCTAGAACTAGGACACCTTCAGAGGACTTTTTTTTTTAGTAGAATATTAATAAAGTAATTCTACATTTACAAATGAGATGGATTTTTTCTTCCACCTAGCAATCATAGTGTAATTTTTATATTATTTTTCTTCTTATTGAACATGAACACTAGGTATTTAATTACAACAATTAGTCAGATTACTTGAAATTCATCAAACTATGTACCAATTTTTAAGCACTTTTATTAGGAAAATAAGCTAAACTAGTTTATAATTTTAAATATAATAATTTTAAGTGGAATATTTAAACTCCCTTCTTTGTGTAGCGTGAAAAGGACTTTGTTATTTTTCTTTCTGTAAGAAAGTCTAAAACAAGAGGGTTTTCATACATGATCCTGCACTTGCTTGCTTTATATGAGTATAAGCAGAGATGCTTTTATAAATCAGAATGACCTTCTGACTCTAGTTCATTAACTCACTTCATAGCTGAATAAGACCTCATCTAATGCTTTACCCTGTAAGTCTATTATTTAGAGGGAAAGACTCAGAATAAATAATTTCTTATTTAAAATCAAGTTATTGGTAAAAGAAAAATTGCTACCCTTTTTATTCTTAGTTAATACTTGAAATTAAGAAAATATGAATACTTAGAAACTATGTGGACATCGCAATAAATTAACTTTTTGTGTAAGGCACCCTGCTTAGTTTCATGGTGATTAATCTGTTCCTACTGCCTGTGGAACACATGCTGTCTAGTAATCACAGAGGTAAAACAATCGCCTCGTTCATGGATGTGCTGGCTCCCCAGCCCGGGTGCTGATGTGCAGGTCCCATCTGGTCACTGTAACGGACTGTCAGGATGTTGTCAGACTGCTCACACTCCCGCCAGAACTCTGACAAGAACTCTTTCTCTATCTTCATTTTAAGGGACACTCCGCAGATCACTTTGTAATAATTACTGAGTGCTTATTATTTATGTGATATGTGCCAGGTGCTAAAGAGGGTAGGAAGAAGAAACAATGTCCCTTGTCACTCAAGATCAGTGGCCACTAAACTTTAATGAGTCATATGCTACTTTAACAAGATATTGGACACTGCGACCTGTGGTCTGTACAAAATTTTGAAATCTAGACGTGAGCATAATTACACTACAAATTCAAAAATACTAATTCTTTTGTGGATTTCTAAAAATTTCTTTTAATTTTTATGATTCAATAGCATGTCTCTCACTTTCTTACAGTACATATTTACTGAATCCCTACTATGTTCTTAGCACTCTTCTAGATGCTGGGAATATAGTAGAGAATATCTTTAAATTAGAGGGGGGTGGCGTGATGGAGAAGAAAAAAGGAAACAGGAAAATATCACTTTTTGAAAGTGTTATTTTTAAAAATGTGATATTCTTGGAAAACTACTTTTAAATTGGGCTTCAGAGAAGGCTTTTCTGGGGCGATGATAGAAACATGGACACTTACTTTTAAGACCATCCAGAGAAGGCCAGATATATTCCAGGCAGAATAAGCTCATTCTGAGAATAAAACTGAGATAATATTTGAAAGCTCAACATTAACAAATGTACATCAGGACCTCGATTCACGCCCTCTAATTCCACTGCATGTTGTTTTTTCTTTACTCCTAGGAAAAGATCCCAAAACAAATTTACTTGCAAAAAGAAAGGCAGATGGATGTGATAAACACAAGTATATTAGAATTCTAAGATAGTTGCAAGAAGAAAGCTAAATGCAAAAGAAGCTTCGAGCTGTCATAAAAGAAAAGGAGAGACTATTCTCACCCAAGACTTCATGAAGGAAGCTACAAGGGCAGATCAGACCCAAAACTTAAGAATTTAACTTCCCATCTGTCACAATTTCTATCTCAGCTAGTTTTATTATGCAAACATTTCCTTTGGCGCCCTTGTCCTTATTTTTCAGTACTTCACTCTTGGAGCTCAGGTCACCTACTCTCTCTGACCATGGAACCCAGAGTAGTCACTGCTCCCTTGGTTGCTCAAATGCTTGTACCATGTGGCATTTAGGGCAACGTTTTTCCAATTTTTTTGCAGCCATTCAAAAACTTGAATCCTATTCTTTGATAGAGATAGTGACTTACATTTTTAGGGCTCTGAATTTTTGCCTTTAATTAGGTTTTATGAACAAGTTGTAACTTCCATTCAGTTATTTTGGCATCTCTGAATTAGGCCAAAGGGATTTGACTGACCTTGCACTTGCTAACTTGAATCAATTAAATTGCTTCTCCAAAGATGAAACAAGGAGCAGATATAATTAGAATTTCCTTAGGATGTTGTTTTAAGGCCTTATCACTATTTGAATGTTTCTGTAACTTGACTAAAATTAAATAATTAAAAATAAATTGCCTGACATCTTCAACTTACCAAATGATAACTATTAATTAATTATATAAATTATGAATGAAAATAATTGGTAGGGACATTGCAGTATTTTACTTGTGAGTTCCTCCTGCCAGTTTGTATGCAAAGTGATATAAAAATGCTTCAATAAACTAACAAAAAATATATTTTGAATTTTGGATAAAGGTAAGCAAATAAAATCAATATAAGATAACTAGATCAAAGGTTGTATTTTTAAATGCATGAAGCTCCCTCTATATTTTCATTAGAAAATTAATATTAAATCTCTTTTACAAAAATGTGTTTAAACTATAACTATAGTAAATGAACATATGTAAAACGACTAAAAATAATTTTCATTAGAATTACCTCTTTTCATGCTGGTAATATATATTCTATAACTCTAAAAGAAAAATATATATGCATATTTTTACTCTTATTCTTTTAAAAAAATATGGAATGCTTCATGAATTTGTGTATCATCTTGTCTCAAGGGCAATGCTATTTTTTTTTTGTATGGGTCCAATTTTAGTATATGTGCCACTGAAGAGAACACTGCACATATATATATTTAGAGGTTAATATTTGTTTCTTCTAAGTATAACATGCAAAAATCAATCCTTCTGAGATAATAAATTTTTATTGTGAAATATTTTGAAATATTATGAACATAAACATACTAACATGGTTAAGTCAGTAAAATATAGGATATAGGGACCTACTTATCAGACATACTTATTTTAAAACATTCACATAAATTATCACTTACAAACGAAGAAATCTTATAGATTTATTTACTTTTATTTTCCACAGTAGTTTTCTGTTATCAACTTGACTACCACTCACATTAAAATCAATTTGCAACCCCTTAAGTATTTAGTAGTGGTAAAATTAGTGGTTACTCCCCAGATAATTATATTGAGAGGGATTCTTGGGCTCATCTGGATCCACAGAGATCTATTTGATCTCTGATGTCATCCTGCATGTGGGAGGAGAGAGCAGCAGTTAGCTTTCTACATGTTTGAGATCCTTGGTGTCTAAGCTCCAAGGTCCCAACAACTAATCCTCACAAAAATGATAGCTTTAAAACCTGTATCTCGTACATCATATATTAATTAAGAACTAGTGTTCTGTAGAAATATTTCAAGACAATTATAATATGGTAGTTATGCAAGTGGCATCTCCAATTATGGTATGTCTTTCTTTGATAAGTGAAAGAAAAGTATCTGTGGGTAAGAGTCTAAGGGAGTGGTACAGCTGCATCAATTTTTAGAAAGGGAGTATGTGTCTTGTCCTGCCTAATGTCACTTTTAATATGGCATGATACTGCATGTGCAAGACACTAAAGTGCAAGAAAATGGATATGCAATTTTATTGCTGATGAATTCAGAATGAGGATATTGATAATCACTGCCTCAAAACTGTTCACATTACCTAATGATCAAGAAAGCTTCTTATAGATATTGCAGACATTGTATTTTTAAGTGTGAGGTGATTTCTGTCTGGGAGTGAGGCAATCTCAAAGTGTGTTGACTGGATTTTAGATACTCCTTGGGCTTTTGTGTAAACCATGCTGAAACTTGAGGCTGTGTATGAAATATGTTATTTTACACCCAATCAGAATTAACATCTCTGTATCTTCCTCTATGTACCTGTGTGTCTTGTCTCTATTTCTCTCTCTATTACTGTTTCCCCCCCATAACCATGTACACACATGCGCACACCCACACACACTCACACACGCATACACACATGACTAGAAGAATATAAAAATAGTAGAATGCTTTTATATAGATAGATATAGAAACATGTCACATATAATCACTTCAAATGATTGAAGAACAAAACTTAAGCATATTTCTACAAACGCTATGTAAATATGAAAGTATGGCTTGCTATTATTATTTTTGTTTTGTTTTGTTTTGCTTTCTTTTGCTTTTAGATCAAATCAAGGAAAATTCTGTTCCTTTACATTCTTTACTAATAAAGAATCAAAAGGAATATTTAAAAAAATAAACCTTTTATTCTAAGGACTAGGTGGCAAGTAAAAGAAAATTTCACCATAAATCATAATTAAAATGATATTGGCACAACTACAATGAGTTTTCTTTTTTAAATAAATGTTTAGAGTCTGGAAGACAATCAGATATCTCCTAGGTTGTTATTGTTAAGGTAATTCTATTTGTGATTTCTAGATTCTTGACAGCATTGTGTCAAAAGAAGCCAATATGTAATTCCAACTAATCTTTATTTTTAAGGCTTGAATGTTACCTTAAGTAAAATTATCTTCATGATACTATCTTAGAATTCCTCTGCAATAATAATAATGATCCAAGGATAATTTATATTTTTAACAAGCTCTAGAATTTATAGGCTTGAAGATTTAAAAAGTCTGCTTTATAAACGGAAAATAGATTTACCAAAATTGGTTTCTGTAGTCCAACTCATTCTCTTTATATAACATTTACTCACTTTTCAAATCCTGATTCTCTGAAGCTTGTAATTTTAGTTTTATTGCTTCTAGGATGACACTATTGAATGTACAATTTCATGACTTAGAATTAATCATTGAAAATGTCCAACAAAACCATTAAAACTTCTTTTAGAGATTTGAATTCTTTTTCGAAGAGAAAAAAAATCTACAATTACTATTTTATCATCAAGTCCTTAATTAAAAAAATAGAATTGAAACTATTTAAACTAAGCTATTACATTAGATTCGAAACTATTAAGAGCAAGTAATTTAAAACAATGGCTCAGAAGTTGGGAGTGGAAAAGACTTCATTTACTGCTTGCTGTTCCTCAATGTTCCTTGAGCATGGTGGCTTCATCTTCAGTGCTCTCTTCTTACTTTGTATCTCCTGTGAAAATGTAGTTTCTGCATTTATTTACAGAGCTGTCTTCCTGACTCAAATCTTAGTGCATCAATGCCACATCTTGCTGGGCTACAGAAGGCCTTTCATAATATGTGCCTAATGGACAAATGATTAATGAACAGCAATGACTCTGTGCTAACTTTAGAACTTTTATATCATTTTTAAAATGATATAAAAATTGCTTCCACATTTTGTCAGTCTTTAAATAACTCCCTCATTTTTGAGCCACTATATATATATTCACAATAAATTTTAGAAACAATCACTTATCTCACAATTTACTTTAACTCAATCACATAATACACTAATTTAAGGTAAAAATAGAATACTGTGATGACATTTATCTTTTTTAAGTCTCATTTATTTAATATGAAAGCGTTCTTTATTTTTCTTTTTTTTCTATACAATTAATACCAATAAGATATTCAGGTTTGAACAAATCTATAAATATTTGTTCTAAATTTATTTCTTAAATTTGACCACACTAAAAACAGAAAAGAACAGAATGTGGCATATTGAAAGGACGCAAAGAAATATTAATCTAGATTTAGAGACCAAGGAAAATGAGCTAAAGATCAAACCAATTGACAGATCATGGACATGCATTCTATGTACCATTTAATTTCATTCCAATGATACAAAGTTGTCTTTTTAAAAAATCACTATAATATTCAAGAATCAACAAGTATAGAGTTGCAGTTTTGCAAAATGAAAGAATTCTGGAGATTGGTTGCACAAAGTGAATATACTTAACAATAATGAATTGTATGCTTTTCATTGTAGTGCATTCATATTTTGCTGCTGGCTACTATTTAAAACTGTATGAAAGTATAATTGCAGTGATTAAAACCATGTTTGAATAAATAGCATCTTTAGGTCCTAATTTTGAACCACATAAAGTTTAGCTCATCATTTGAGCCTACTGCTGGCTCAACCACCCTGCTTATTTACACCTTTGGATTGTAAATTCTTAAAAAGTACTCTAAACGAACAACCTTACTTCATTTAAAGGTCTCAATAATTTCATTGTATTTGTCTATTAAGAGAGTTTGAGTGCCAGTCTTTGTTCTTTATTCAGACATAAAACCCTAAAATTTTGCTATGAAGATAATATCATATAAACATTAGTGACTTCTAAATCATTTGTTAATTCCAGGTTTAACAAGTCTTTTTCAATGTATTCCCTCAGGATATTTTCCTTTTCCTCACCTATTAAAACATTTTCTGTTAACATTGGTGAGAAACATAATAAAAGTTTGTCGGGAACTCTTGGAACAATATAAGCAACTCAGAGCTTGCTTTTCTTGTTTCTTCTTGCCTATAGCTTAACAGAGAGCATTTCTTTCTGTAAGCTAATGGAGAAATGTAACTGTTTGAACCTTATTTTGCAAAAACTTCCATACAGAATTCTTAGTTTGTTAAAAACGAACAAACAAAAAACCCTAATGGAAACTTTGTGACAAATTAAAGACTGTTAAAGCTTTAAAAGCTACCAACCAAGGAGTCTGCGACCCTTGTTCTTAATTATTTACCCAAATAATGTTTATTGTATGGTTGAGACCACTCCCACCCATTCCCCTGAATCTCAGGAGACAAACATTGAGTCATATTTTGGCTCTGCTGTGAACTAGCTTTGTAGCCCTTGGCATGTTATTTAATGGCTATATGAATAAGTTTTCTGACTTGAAAATGGGGAAAGTACAGCTATCTCATAGGGTCATTGTGAGATTTAAATAAGATAATGCATACAAAATGATTAAGTGACAGATGCATCTGAGCTCCACATGTGTTAAATATTGTCAAAAAATTCACACTTGTCTTTCAGTTGGAGTGATAATTTATACTTGTGACAGAGAGCTATTTGCTACACTTCATTGCATATGTTTATAATGCATTACCACTCTAAGTAAACACAGAAAAAAACAGGGTAAAAATAGAATCTCTTGCTTAAGCAAATGCTAATCTGAAATTCTATTGACATCAATATAAAAACTTACGGCTTTGTCAACTTAGTTTACCTATTATTAAATGCATTTAAAAATATGAAGATTAACAATTAAAAATTAATGGTTCAGTACAGTTTTTTCTTAGAAAAAATTTTAGGATAACTTTGGAAGATATGTAAATATCAAAATTCTTAAATCCTACTTAGCATACTCTTGGCTTGATATCCACTCTTTGATTTCACATACTCACTTTCCTAATTAGAATTGGAAGATGTTTTAGATATTCAGATTCTAACACACCTTAAAATGTTTTACAGATTTATTGGCCTGCTGCAAAGGAACGGGTGGAATTATGTAAATTAGCTGGGAAAGATGCCAATGTAAGTATGAGACTCTTAAAAATATCTTTGTTAAACTGGTACTGATATGATGGTAAATATTTATATTGGGTTTTATTGAATTAATGACATTAATATATTATTTTAAAGACTACGTTAACTTATTCTGTGTGAACAGTAAGATACAAAATATTTCTACTCTGCCAAAAAGAATGCCGTTATTCTCAAAAATTTAGAATTACTACACTTTGTATAATGTTAATTCTGAATATTATTTTTTTTCACAAAAAATCTCAGAAATATATTTAAAATATTCAAAAATAAGCCAGAAACTATTGTATTTCTGTGATTGTGTCTTTTTTATTTGCATGCATGAAAATATACACAAAATTGTAG